CAGCTGAAACCTTGCTTTCTAAGAGAAGCTTTTCTCTTCTTGCCCATCCTGGCTAAAATGGATGCTCCTCCCCCATTAAGCTCACTCTCAGCAGTATCCGGTTTCTCTATAGCACTTACCTCTTTCGTTCACGCTTGTCACTTGCCCATCTGTTCACCAGCTCAAAAGACCATGACTCCCTCACTCACGACCCCCGCTACTCAGCACGGTGCCTGTGACTCACGATAGCGGTTCAGTAAATATTTGCTGAGCACATGAATAGATCATTTCTAACAGTGGACAACTGAAAACAATACAGAGACCCAAGAAAAGGGCGAGGCTAAGGAACTCCAGGTATGTGCATGAGTTAGAAAGAACCCTGTCTTCGTCCTGAGTCTCTCCTTTACTCTCACACTACTACCACACTCAACACGCTTGTGACACCAGATGTGTGGGGTTTCCCCCACCAAGCAATTGTCGGCGACGCCAGCTGGATGACCCTACAATTTAACAATTCAGACACTGTCTACCTGGGGATAGCGTCAGATCCCACAGGTTAAGGGCTCAGTTCCAAGAGACTACCCATACTTCAGAGGCCAATAGCAAGGCGGAGGTCCCCAGGCTACCCACAACTTCTGTCCAACTTGGCTACAAATCAGAGATTCTCATGACCTCTTCCCCTTTGGATTCAATTAGTTGCTAAAGCAGCTCACAGAACTGAGGGAAACACTCACATTTACCAGTTTATTATATAATAAAGGATATGATAAATGATACAGATGAACAGCCAGATAAAGAGATACACAGGGCGAGGTCTGGGGGATCCCAAGCACAGGAGCTTCTGTTCCCGTGGAGTTGGGGTGCATCACCCTCAAAGTATGTAGGCAGGCGTTCACCCACCTTGAAGTTCTCTGAACCCCATACTCCTGGAACTTTGGGAAGGCTTCCTCATGTAGGCATGATCAGTTATTAGAGAAGTGGGGGGTGTGGCTGAGAATTCTAAGCTTCTAATCATGGGCTTGGGCTTGCTGGTGACCAGACCCCATCCAGGAGCCATCTAGGAGTCCACTCAGAGTTGCCTCATTAGAGCGAAAGACACTCCTAACACCCCGGAAATGCCAAGGGATTTAGGAACCCTGTGTCAGGACCAGGGTCAAAGGCCAACTGTTAGAACAAAAGATGCTCCTAGGGCTCTTACCACTTAGGAAATTAGAAAGGTTTCAGAAGCTCTGCATCAGGAACTGGGGGCAAAGACCAGTATATATATATTTCTATTATCTCACAATACACTTAATAAAATGCTCTAGAGCCATTCAAAATTACCACTGAGAAGACTGTGTAGCAGCATAGGGAAATATTTAGGATGTTAGGGTAGAAAATGCTATTTACACTTGGATTGCAACTACATAAAAATACTGAGATGAGCAAAAACAAATTAAACAAAGAAATTTGGAAACAGTCAACAACTTGCTATGGTAGTGGGACTGGGTAGTGGGTAGTGGGACTGTCAGTGTTTGGGGTCTTTTTCCTCTTTTATTTCTGCTTCTGTCGCCATAATGCTGTTTGTTCAACAATTACAGTTTGTTCTACATCACTAAACTAGGCACACTACTGAACTGTCCCCAGAAGGGAGGCAAACATTTGCTCACAGGTGTATGTGGAATGAACTTCTTTTTCATACAGTTCTCGAGCCAGCCGGGCCATGGTGAAATGGGGAGAAGGATGTGGCATGACCTTTTGAGCCCCTATAAACTTGGCTGTGAAGTTATGCATCAGGAGTGGGGCTGCACCCCACATACCTGCAATGAGGTGGTGCCCCAGAGAGCAGGGGGAAGTCAGGGTGTGGCTACTGATTAAGAGGGGGAATGCTGGCTGCCTGGCCAAAAAATGACACCAATAGCTACTACAACAGTCAAGATCTCTCTTAACGACAACTTCTCTGTTTTTAAGGCCATTGCACCTGCATAACCTCATTCAACCCTCAAAACTCCTCTTATGAGGTCCTTGGTTGTCATACACATATTACAGAATATACACAGACACTCAGAGAGCTTATCCTCCTCATTTTTACCTTAAAAGTGGGAATATCTATGGCACAGAATTATACTTCCTGGGAAGAAAACCTCACCATGAATTTACTTACCCAGGCCATCAGAGATGGACTCTCGTAACTCTACAGGAATAGCTACAGCGATATGAAGGCTCAACTACCAAAGCACACAAACTGCCTCATCATGAAGCCCAACAGGATGGCTGAAGAGTTCCCAAGCTTTCCCCCCTTGAAACCCAGGTGATGGATGACATTCACCTGTATAATTCACCTTCATGGCAATCCTCAGGGTCACACACAGTTCTCAGTCACTAACTGACAAGACTTTCTCGCCTGGCCAGGGAAGCACCCTGAAGCACAGGGAAGCCAGAGGTGAACAGGTAAATCATTGGAACACTTCGAAATTTTCACAATTATTAGCGTGGGAAGCAGTTTTGCACAGTGGCTAAGACACAGCCTGCAGTGAAAGAACATGGCTTCAAATATTGGTTCTAACCCTTTCTAACTATGTGACCCTTAGCAAGTTGATTTACCTCTCTGAGCCTCCGTTTTTATATATTGGGGATAACAGCACCCATCTCACAGGGTCCCAGTAAGGACAAATAAGACAGCACGTACAAAGCTCTCTGCAACAGGCTTGGCATATACCATGTACTCAGTAAGTGGGAGCTAATAATGGCAGCAGCAGTGCCACTAAAAATGACTTGAGAAATCCTTGAAAAATGACCACACCACAGGAAACAAGCTGGTTCCGAGTGACCTTGTTCTAAGAGCTTTACCTACAAAGAGTTGAGAGTTGGACAGCTGGTATGATAAAGTTTAGGACAAAGCTGGACCACGCCAGCAGAAATCTTGCCAATTTCTATTGCATTCCCTCACTGAAAACTAGACCCTATGGAGGGAGAGGAAGGAGAAACGGTCAGAGAACCCTTAAAGAGATGTGGTGATAGATCAGGGGAGAGAACTTGGCATGGCCAGCAAACAGTTACAAGTAAAACGTACCTACAAATCTCTTTCGAGGCCTTCTTAAAAGGAGGAAGGGGTTGGCCTTGAAGTACAGGTAAGATTCGGGAGGGAGGGGAGGAGAGGGGCAGGACAGAGCCAGGTACACAAGAAAAGGAGGGACACGCAGCCAAAGCAGAGAGTTTGTGTCAGACAGCTGTGAGCAAGGCTCCCTGCTCTCTTCTTGCCTCTTCCATCCTCCTCTGCCCTTCCCGAAATGACTCAGCCCTTTGGCTGAGCTATCAGAATGTTCTAAGTTGGTTCTGCTTGCAGTGTTTCCCCGGCTAGCTAATTAAACATATACATTTAATTGAATCATAGTGAAACCCATAATTGAGGTCTCTACATCCAGAGGGGAAAAGGCGGAGCGTGATGGAAACCAACCGTGTTTTAACTGGTGCCAGCTAGAATGTTGCCGATAGTTTCAAAGCTCAGCATGAAAAGCATCATATTTGAGGCAATATCATGTAGAGAGTAATCTCCCCAAGAGAAGAGAAGATATCCCTTTTATACAACAACAGTTCAGTAAACGTTGTTTAGCTTGCATAGGATACAGTTAATTACAGAAATTTATCAAAGTGGCATAAGGTGGTATTCACACACACAAAGAGTATTTTCCCACAGTGGAAAATCCTTAGTTTTATAGAAGCTGAAGCTAGTACTAATTGAATTTTCACTTGGGTAGATAAAATCTTTAACAACTCCGGAATAACTACATGCTCTTTGCTCAACGATGTGGATCGGGATGATTTACAACACCTTTCACACAATCACGCTAATTTTGCTTTCATATGATTAATTAAAACAATATGTTCATTCTCCCTAAAGTGGAATTAGGGCACCCAAGGAGTTGGCTTCTATAGCCAACTTCCCTACCCAGCAATAAAGGCAATTTTCACACCTGGTCTTCGAGAAACTGTTAAGTATATGGGGCCCTGATGGAGACTGTGTCAAGCTCAGCTTTGATCTTTGGAAGGCAGTAGAGGTGAGTCTGATGGGCAGAAAGAGGTTCCTAGGACTTCAGAGCTGAAAAGGACCTTCGAAGCAGTCTCGTGAAAATCCCTCACCTCCCAGATAAGAAAACTGAGGCTTGGAGAGACCAATAAGTTGTCCCCAACTTATGAGGCCCCATTTATGGCAGAACTGATATCAGTCTCCAGCTACCCTGAGGTTTAACCCGGTCTTCTGGAGAAAGAGCACTGGACTGGGAGTCAGCAAACCCGGGTTTAAGAGCCAATTCTGTTGCTGACTCACTGCAGGACCTCATGAGCATGGGGTCTCTCTCTCACCTTCGTCTTCGTAGAATTGGGAAAATGATTGCATTTGCCTATGAAACTTCCAAAATAAGAAGCTATGAGACAGATGAAGTTTATTACAGGTGCCCCTCCATCCCTAAGCCCCATTTTCTGCTGAATTTCCCAGACCCCTCTGCCCCAGTGCCTTGTCACGCTCTGCTCCTTAGAATCCTCCAAAGGAGCCCTCTTGTTTTTTCCAGCTGGGGAAGCTGAAGGCTGGGAGACTTAAGGCCATGCAGCTACTTAGTGACAAAAGTGCTTTGAAGCCCATCACCACCTCCCTATGCGGCCTCCACCCGGTGCCCATCCCCTTAGAACCCTGCCCTCTGCCATGGGTGACAATGGATGGCAACTCTCTTGGGTGACGGTCCTTAACCCTGAGGGGGCCCTACTCACCCTGAGGCTTTGGTTCACCTAGCCAGTCCCAAAAGGAGACTCTTTTAAATCAAATTCTTAAGCAGTGAAAGGTGGAAAAGACCTCCACCACCTTCACTTTACAGATGGGAAAACTGAGGCCCAGAGGGTAAGAAAGTGCCTTTTACTAAGCACCTCTGATGTGCCAGACATCACTCAAGGGGCTTTCTCAGGTGATCACATTTCATTCAAGGCCAGGAAGAACATATGACTTGTCCAAGGACATCTGGCTGCTAAGTGCTTAATCAAGACTCACTCAGAGCAGGACGGTGGCCATGGAAGTCGGAATCCGCTAAGGAGTGTGTAACAACTCACCTGCCCAATCAACTAGCCCTGAAAATGGATGGCGCTAGAGCGTCGGGCCCATACCCGGCCGTCGCAAACAACCTAAGTGTCCATCATGGGATGAATGGATAAAGAAGATGTGGCACATATATACAATGGAATATTACTCAGCCATAAAAAGAAACGAAATTGAGCTATTTGTACTGAGGTGGATGGACCTAGAGTCTGTCATACAGAGTGAAGTAAGTCAGAAAGACAAATACCGTATGCTAACACATATATACGGAATTTAAGAAAAAAAATGTCATGAAGAACCTAGGGGTAAGACAGGAATAAAGACACAGACCTACTAGAGAATGGACTTGAGGATATGGGGAGGGGGAAGG